CTAAACCACGACACTTTAATTGTTAACGAAAAAGAAAAATCCTGAATTACAGAGGCACCCGGTTGTCTGGCTCTCTGGGTTGTGGCCAACAGGACAAGCCTACAAAAGCCGAGGGCCCTTCGGCAAGAGCCTGCCTAGCAGACTGCCAGCCCGCTCCTCCCAGCGCACCCTGCAAACTGGGACCCTCTGGGGTGTCAGAGCCACTTTGCCAGGCTGAAGACAGTCGTCTGAAAACTACTAAGCAAGCCAAGTTATAAGAGGCTTCGGGGGCTCTTGCAAAAGTGTTAAAGCAGGGAGGGAGACTCGAGGATGGAGAAACTTACTTGTAGAAGTTGTACAGGCTCATCGGCAGCGTCACAGTGAGCGCACAAGCTGGAAGAGAAAGAGCTGCGTTACTGCCCCACAATCGAGGGAGACCATCACGTGCACCCCACAAACGGGCAGGCGGTTGCGCTCTGGTTTAAGCTGCTCGCAACAAAAATAGCTCAGAGGTGCACCAAGAATAGCTCAGCACGTTTAAAAGTAGGTACTTATAATTCTGGTCCAAGAGCTGTAATTACAAGTTAAGGTCTTCCATGAATTAAAGACATTTGAATTTTAAAAAGTTGCATTAATGAGCACCGTATTATGCTTCAAACAGTTACAAAGTTTAATTATAATACTGTCTTTTGTGGAGTTTGAACTCGCCTCATGTCTCATTAGTGACATGACTGCGCACAACAGAGTTTTCAGTCTTCATAAAGCCAATTTGCTATTCCTCCCACTGCGAGCAAGCATTTTCAGTTCCCACTGCGCAAAAAAGTTCTTGTCATTCAACTTGAGAAATGATACAAAGAGTCTAAATAACTTTAAAAATTCCAGACCTCGATAGGGAACATCATCCACTACACTCAAACCCGTGCGAGTCTATCACAACTCCTTCCGTGTTTATATAGCAGCAGGTATTTTAACAGAGCTGTAAATATTCCTGCTTTTAATAACCCAGCTCCTAGCCAAGTGCACAAATCCAGCCCATGTAGGCATTGTGCTCTATTTTTCATATAGGAAAATTGCATTTATTATTCATAAGTTATACGACTGCCAAAGGAAAGCTCAGAATATCCACCCGATTAAGGAAAGTGCAAGCACTAGATTTCACACAATTCAAGACATACTGACTTGAAATTAAGTAGCTGCAATTAACCCCTAAAGAAAGGGACACGGACTAAGAAAAATTAAACTAAGAGAGAAGTTCCGCATAAGCCAAATTTCATTAAGCAAAGACAGCTCTCCCCGGCTAAGCTTCACCTGCATTACTCTCCCCTTTGCAGTGGCTTGTTCTGACCACTGGAGAGGAAGGCTGGGCTTTTATTTAATTTTTTTTTATTTCTAATCTAATTTAATTGTTAGATGGGTGGATGGAGGGCAGGATCCCCAAACAGCAGAGCGCTTTTCCCCACCTCCGTGGCTGTAACCTCCCTCCTGCACAGGGTTTGGGCTCAGGGTCCGTGCTGTGGGGCAGGACGGAGCCCCAAGCAGCAACCCAAGCACGCTCTGCAAACACCCCGAGCGCCGGGGGGTCCCTGCCGGCCGCCGGCCCCTAGCACCCACCTGCACACCGGGCTGCATTTCATCCCCTAAAAACCCCACGGCTCTAGCTGCAAACAAACTGTGCTTCCCCTGGGCAATGCAATGCCCGCAGCCCCAGCGCTCAGGCAACGCAGCTAGTGGGAGGAGACGCGTTTTCACGCGCTCGCAGGTCCCAGGCACGAGGGATTCTCCTTTTTTAGCATCCAGGGGCCGGTGCTGCGCTCCGGCTGCCTCCCAGCACCCTGGCACACCCGGCCCCAAGCAGCAGCCGCAACCCTCAGCCACTCTCGTCTGCCCACTGCGTTGCTCCAGGCCAGGAACCATTTTGCGTCTGCCCGCGCAAGCCCGCAGCCCCAGGTAGGCAGCACCGGGGCTGATCGCCCGAGCAGCGGCAGGCTCCTATACCCTCGGGACTGGCACAAAATATATCCGAGGCATGAGCGCAGCGCTCCGCTTCCTTGCTCCTTTGGTCAACACAGACCCAGGCAGACTGGAGTTAACTTCTCCAAAGTAACTCTGCAGAAGATAACAATACTTTGAAATCCTGGGAAAGCGCAGGCTGTCAGAACACCCTCAATTAGTCACTTCAATAACAGCCTACAGGAGCTTTCATTACAGCAAACAGAACAGCGTTATCATGTAATTCAGACATTGGGTTTCGTTAAAAAGGTGGAGTTTAAAAGACAGGCTTCAACATGGAGTTTCTTACCAATAATCATTGCAGTGAATAGGTCTCTATATAAGAAATTAAACAGGAAAGGTGCATACCAGGCCTCAACTCCCACAATGGCCGTCACTATGTAGACAATTGAAATGGTCTGAAAGAAAGCACAGGACAAGCAGGCGTGAGCAACCAGACAGGCAAATCTGGCAGCACCCGACCCGGCAGCGCAACACGCGTGCCAGGCAGCTTCAGGGAAAGGCAGCTCGAGAAGTATGCTCTAAGCTACACCGCGTTCAGTTCTCCCCACTGGCAGGAAAGAGAAAAATAAAAAAAAAACCCAAACATAAATATCCTGTGTTACGAGACCAGGTCTAGTAAGTGTAGTAGCTGAGCTGCTGAGAAAGATACGACCAGGAGCTGCTCCTCACAGCACGAGCAAAGATGCCCTTGCACAGCTTGAACTCACGAGATGCTTGAAGCACGAGAGAGAGGTTTTATACTACAAGTTGCAGTGACCCTGGAGGGTTTGTTCAGGGACTCTTTCTAATCCGTCTGCTGAAGCAATTACAGGGAAAAAGCTAATAAGGGATATTTCAGTTTTAATAGTAACCCTGAAGCTGGGTGAAGCACACTGCAGGGCAGCTGAGCCCTCCACCCCCTGCCTTTCTGCAACAGGCAGAGATCCGAAAGCATTAGGGTTAAGCAACGCTTTTGGAGAAAGGGGTGAGGGTATACTCAGAGGACACCAGCTACGGTCTCCTTTTACTAGCAGAGATGATTATTGCAGCTAATGCAGCTGCATCGATTGCACTCTCCTTCCAACTTGTTGCATTTCCCACCCAGCACCTGATAAACCAGAAGATACGGGAGTACTGCGTGCTGCGCGGTGCTGCAGGACGGCACCCTGGCTAGGAAGGACACCAGCCAGCAGCACAGGAGGATCGTGTCATCCAGAGCTTGCTCCCAGTTCTGACGGGCTCTTCAGAAAGAGCTTCCTGCAGAGAATTCCTTCATGAGACACGGACACGCCGACATACCAAAGGGTCCGCCACCGTCAGTCTCAACATCAACTGCCCAGTTACCACCGGTACAGAGAGATGCCTCCGCAGGAACCTTTGCTCCAGGCACAGCGATTAGCGTGCCAATTAGTTACTCTGCTACATTTTGGCACACATCCTGCTAGTGCCAAAAGGCACCCCGAACTTCTAGACTGGAATGTACCCACGTTGGTGTGATGCAGTCAAACTGATTAGAGCAACGATTTAGGTGGCCAAAACATGCATCTGAGGACAGCCGAAACCAGGCAGAGGAAACATAAGGCAATATCCGTTCTTCAAGCCTGCTTTTGTGGAAACTCCATCTACAAGAACTACTCGGAACAAAATAAGAACTGCACCGCACAACCCTCCTTGGATTTAATGGTTTTGAGCAGTCGAATTCTAGTGCCACATGACCTCAGCTCATTAAAGCAATTATAGAATAGAATCACAGAATGCCTTGGGTGGGAAGGGACCTTCAGAGCCCACCCAGCCCA